TTATAATATTAAGGTCATGATAATTGTACACCGTGTATCTCATAATGTATAAATAAATACTCCAAAAAGCGGGGAAATCTGAGATTAAATTAAATTTTTATCGTTTTTTTAAATATATGATGATGTAGTGACAACCTGGTAAGACATGCAGGAAGTCGATGGACGCAGATGGCTCAGACCGTTCTATGTGACATTCCTTGAGGGAGGCCTATGATCGGCAGTGGACTTGTGATGGGCTGTGATGATGTTACATTAGACTTCAATTTCTGGAGATGTCTAAATTTAATATTCTTCATTAAATGTATTCACGAACGCAAAATTAGTCACTACAAGCAAAGAATATAATATATTAATACGATGTAATTTAAGTGTGCGTATATATGTGGGACATATGTACGTAGTTCTTCGGCTAAGGTAAACAGCTGATGTAAATTTAGTCATGTGAATCATTCTTATACTATCAACAGACACGGTCATCGTTTTGCCGAAATTGCCATGTTTGACAGACTAATTGACATTATCACACGTATCGCACCATTGCCGCTGTTTCGCCGGTCTGGATATTTTTTTATAGGATGGGGTGACAAACGAGCAAAACCTGAAAACGAGACTGTACAACCAGTGCGTGTTGCCAGTGATCTGAGTGGATCTTTTTTTTTTATAGGATAACGATGACAAACGAGCCCACAGTCCACCTGATGGTAAGTAGTTGCTGCGGCCCATAGACATCTACATCTATCCTCTGTTACAAATCAAAATGTAGATGCGTTGTCACCCGTGAGGACTAAGATGAATGCCTCATTTCCAATAAATAGGGCCTCCGGCCACCTGCACTCACCAAGCGAAACGCAGAGGTAAACCTCTACTTCACGCTGGTTTTCTGTGAGGTCGTGGTACTACCCCGGTTCGAGCCGGCCCATCCGTGCGACAGCAAAAGCTGCCGCGTGGCTCTACCACTGTTAAGACCTAGTCATTCACTGCTGGCCGTAAAAATAATAGATCTCGTGTCATAACGGAATTGAAATATTCACCGAATCCATTCATTTATATTTTTTTTTATAAGAAAAGGGTGACAAACCGAGCACACAGTCCACATGATAGTAAGTGGTTGCTGTGACCCATAGACATCTACATCTATCCTCAATAAAGAATCAAAATGCAGATGCGTTGTCACCCGTGAGCACTAAGATGGAATGCTTCGTTTTCAATAAAAAAGGGTCTCTACGAAACACAGCAGCGTTATGCTGCTAATTTACGCTGGTATTCTGTGAGAGCGTGGTCTTTCTCCGGTTGAGCCGACCCATTCGTTTTACAAGAATGCTACTAATACGTATAGCTGCAGCATGGCTCTACCACGTAAAAAATTAATTATGACTTAAGCATATTATGACTTTCTCCCAAAGTCTTCTAACTTACAACTTCAACGGGATGAAATGTTGTTTTTCTTAGGTTGTCTTGTCACGGCATAATAAAATAAATAAGTAGGTATCCTCAATCGTAAGTGTATAAAGTCACGGAACTTTTAAGGACTCGATTAATTACAATCGACACGTTTCATAATAAAATTTTTTAATCGGCAATCGACATCTAACTATGGCGACCAATAAACGAAATTGGTAATAGGCTCCATCATTGTTACAATTACTGTGTATTTGTATCTTTATAATTTTTCAAATTAATATTCGAGCATAACACAATTGTTTCTCATGCAAATTAGTTCAGAATAATACAGATTACGCGGAAGACACATTGTCTAGTTATTTTCTACTACACTGACTTGTTCGACTGTTCTGACGTAACTTTAGCATAGGCCTTGATATTTGCAATTGAAAACCACACGGGAAGTATAAACAAAGCCACTTTTTCATACATTGCGTTTTTACATAAATACATAGCGTCACGCCTGGAATACCCGAGAGTAGGAAGAGTCCAAAGAGTTACGACCTGTTCGGGCCACGTTTAGCTAATAAAATATGGAAATAGAGGGAAAATTGTAAAATGAGTGTTAGGTGGCTAGTCCATCGCCTATACACAAACAACGAAAGCATCACAAAACCATTATAACATTAGTCACCTTGTACGACATGCTAGGCAGGTAACGAAATTTGTACATTCTTTTTTGTTATAAGTCTCACATAAACAAGTTTGAACTTTATGGACCAGACTAACATGGGCATTTTTATATCTATGTCGTAAATTCTCCACACTTGGCAGTTTGACAATCGCAATAAAATATATAATGCACTCTTAACACCGCTTGCTGTCATCGATCCGTGTTAACATCTGACCATCGTAAAAATTCTATGCATCTGACATTGAGTCTCAGAAATGGGAGACCTGGGATGTTCCTATCGCTGGACACGGGCTGTAACTTTACGGGTATGAGGCCTTTTTAGCGCTTTCCCATAGCCGCCATTTGCGAGAGTCACGAGGTTAGGTATTTCCATTACAGCCTATAAAAGGCCACTGCTGAACATAGGCCTTCTCCATAGATTGCCTCATAGGGTGGATTTTGCCATAGTTGCCACGCTTGTCTGGCGGGTTGGCAACCGCAGTTTTTTTATTACTATTTTGAGTTGTTATCAGGAAGATGCTGCTCCCCATCACCAGTTTTAACTTTCCTCTGTCCCATCTTACGACACCCACACCAGACATTAATTATTTTTATAAAAAGAAGTAGGGATGACGTATGAGCATAAACCCTCAGCTCCAGATGATACGTTAATGCTGTAACAACTTCGGTTAAGAATCAAAATATTAGTGCGTTGTCACCTCTGACGACTAAGATGGAATTCCTAGCTACCAGAAAAAAGGGTATCCGGTTCTCCAAACTACTAAATACTAAGTGAGACTCCTTTTCTGCCTGTGTCCATCTGAGTAAGAATCATACTCCCTAACCTATTTCTTTCGCCAAATAGCAGTTCTTGCATTAATGGGTTCCAGTCTGAAAGGTCGGAAAGGAGAAATGGCAACGCAGTGAGTGAGTTTTTTCTATAATGATCATAGAACCGACGGCACATTATAAGTTATAAACAGAAATTGTTAAATAATGCTTAATGTCAATTACAGGTTCTTACTTGTTATAGTTGACAAATTAATTAAATGGTGCTTAGATGAACTTGGCAGAATGAAAACAATTGCCCACATCGTATAAGTATACCGCATACAACAAGGGCCCCAATATTGAACCTTGTGGGACTCCCGCTGGAACTTCCATAATATCCAAGCAGTATATATTGTACTATACATACATTATATTATACATTTTAAATAATATGTTAAGATAAGCTAGTTTTTTTCTTTTCACCACACTACCAAAGATAATTGGCAGAAAATGCCAGTTCGTCTTTAAATAATAAAGATAGCTTAACGCTGCTGTATTTCGTATGGTGAGTGTACAGAACCGGAGACCCTTTTTACTGGAAAAGGCATTCCATCTTAGTCCTCATGGGTAACAACACATCTGCATTTGTAATCGAGGACAGATGTAAATGTCTATGGGCGTCAGCCCCCACTTACCATCAGATGGACTGTGTGCTCGTTTGTCACCCTTATCCTATAAAAAAAACAGTGACAGCAGCAGGTAGCACTACCATCAGATTGACTTTAAGCCCGTTTATCACTTCAGTTTTATAACAAAAAAAAAAACTCATCATGCAAAATACAAATACAACACATAACCCTTATATTGGTATTTTAAGCAGGTAATCTGTGCTATCGTGTATCATCACCGTTCGAGCTGACCATTAGTGTTGAAGCCTTGCAGCCATATACGCTACAGCGTTGCTCTACCACGTATAATGCATAAAATAAACGTGCCTATAACGACAAATTCTCCCCAAGTGGTTAACAAACACTCGTCTTAAAAAAAATCCAGTGGTAAAAATTGCTAGAGTCGCAATGTTATGGTGGATGAAAACGGTCTACGACAGCAACTATGCTAACTTGTTTAGGCAAGATTTAAAAAGAAGTTCGTTGATATAAATTTCGGATTTCGAATTATCAATTATGCTACTATTTCTTAAAGTACAATAATGAAGATCATTATTCTTTGAGATATATGTACTGGCTTGTCAAAGTTAGAACATTCACAATTGCACGTACTACTCTTTGTTTTTTTGAAAAAATAAAAAAACACTGGAAAGTATACGTATTTTCATAATATATGCATTATAACGTGTGTATGTAATAGATATGATATTTAAGTAAATAAATTATTTTCAAATAAGTTCATAATATTCTTAAGTGTATACTCGTAATAGTGGTTTTGAACTTTATAACAAATTTCTTTTTAATAATTTCCGAGTGTCTGTTTCCCATTTGTTATTTTTCCTTGTTCCCTTCTTTCTACTTTATGTCGAAATGTTGTATGAGATAGAACTCATAAAATTGTTTATTTTATTTTTTATGTCTATGTGATTTTATGTCTATATGATCTATTGGAGCATCTCTTTTAAACATAATAGCAGATTTATTGAAAAATAAAGAACCAGAGCAAGAGGAAAACTAATTTCAACAGTTTATTTCTTAATTTACCGACTTATGTAATATTTTATATTAAATATTGAAATATTTTTTACAAAGATCATTATCTTATTTTGGTTTTTTATTGTACTAATTTTTTTTATTGTTTGAAAACTTGTTTGAAAACATAAACAAAAGAACAAAGAACACTCTTCTTATAATATGTCAAAAATTTGACGAGGGAAGAGAAGAAATTGCTATCTATACAAGAGAAAGCAGAAAGAAAGAGTCTCCCGTATAAATGACGACAACTGTAAACTTTAACTTTTCATCATTATAGTTAAATAGAAAGACTTTCACAAGTTTTCTGTTATAATTGCTAACTAATAATCATGCTCTGAAGTTATTAGACCCCTAAAATTTTATAACTTAAAATATTAAGCGTATGAAAAAAAAAACTTTAGCGGTTAAGTTAACCGCTAAAGTTTTTTTTTTCATTTTTATCAAGATAGAAAAACAAAAGTGTTGCTACATACCAACATCAGATGCCGCAAAACCGACAACCATTAATATGGCACTGAACTTTATCAAGGCGGATGCCATTGCGACGGAATTCAAAAAAATATACAAATAAAATATGTAAAAATAAATAAGTATAAATTAAACGTGTTGTTCGCGCAGGCAACCGTTGCCGACTGACATTGAACATGGCCTTTACACCGCTTTTATGGTCAAGTTTGTTATTGGCTGATTCACCATTTTTTCTGAAAAAATATTGATATATGACAGATAAAATTTCCCACACCGGTAGCGGGAGCTAGCATCAAAGGTGCGAGAAGTCTGGTATTGAGTTAGTTTTTAGTTTGTGGTCTGGCATCCAGAGCGATCGCCAGTTCACTTACGTACCGTTAAACGTGACGATTAAAGAAAAAGACCCTATTGTGGGAGGAGGTCATATCCAGCGGCGAACTATTAACAGGCTGATGATGGTAAGTAGAGTTATGAAATTTTAATTCTTTTGTTTAAGAGACATGCTATCATAAGTGGAGTGATCACCAGTTTTCTCTATTCATTATCTTTATGCTTCCTTTTGGCCAATCGGCAAGACGCAACACCAACATTAATATAAAAAAAAAATCATCTCTACCTTTTAACACCCATTTTACCTCTAATGCTAATAATAAGAAGTATATCTCTTCAATTAGGGGTAAGGGCAAGGGATAAAATGGTGGTGTGGTAGCTCAGGGGCTAAGCCTAGGGGCCTAGGGGCTTGCTGTAAATTTCATAGTACGCGAGCAATCGGGGTTCGATTCCCGCCGGCACGAATGAAATTGTTAATTGCAATTTTAAGTGCTGATTTACCACGTGCTCGGCGGTGACGGAAAACATCGTGAAGAAACCTGCATGTCCGAGAAATAATAAAAAAATATTTTGAAGCCCATCCGTGAGACGTATATAGTATAAAATAATAGCTAACACTATACCTGCGAACGCAGGAAATATTTTAAAAGCTATGATATCATTATGATATGATATCACAATATTTCATTGCTTCGCTATTCATAATTAGGAATGCTTCTTGTGACATTCAACAGTTTGTTTACGAGTCATTATTATCATCATTACAGTCCATCACAAGTACACTGCTGATCACAGGCCTTCCCGAAAGAATTCCACAAAACACGATATCCACCTGCATACATCGACTGCAGCTCTTGTCAGGTCGTCAATCCATCATCTAGTGTGGGCTGTGCCACAGTCCGCTTAACGGTACGAAACTCGAGGCCGCTTGAGGCCGCTCAAGAACATCCCATCGCGTGTCGGTTCTATTGCTCTGTTACTTGGTTACTCTATAACCCCTGGGAATGAGGTGATCGCTACCGTGCTGTTTTTAAATGTTTTCATTACAATTGTATAAAACTTTATATTGTAAATTGTGCTTTAAAACAAAAGATTTCTTGCTGGTTTTTCAGTGGTAAAAGTAAAAAATTACTTTCAATAAATAGTGTATATTGAATAAAAGTTCTATTCTATTCTCTTCATAGCTCGCTAAGCGACCTAGAAGTTTCTCATACGGCCAACAGTGAAGGACTACCTCTCATCTCTCAGATACATATTATATCATCACTGATTGCACACTTTTGTTTTAAAGTTTTGATACAGTTGAATCCGTTGATAAACCTCTCGGTCGAAGTGTTTACAAGCATCCGTAATAACTGGAACTGAATACTGATAATTTTATCACTACCTTGGATTTGGGTTAAAGTTTAAGGATCAGAAGTTTTAAACCTAATTTAGTTTTCAGTTCACTAAATATGATTATTATGTTAACGAAGTTGTGATTATGTTTAGTATCTAGAGTATTGCCGTTTATTACAAACTATACTTTACGTGGTGGAGCCATGCTGCAGCTATATTAGTAGTATAGTTGTAGCACGACTATGTCGGCTCGACCGGGGAACCACGCTCTCACAGAATACCAGCGTAAAATGGCAGCTTGACACTGCTGTGTTTCGTATGGTGAGTGTAGAGAACCGGAGACCCATTTTACTGAAAAAGAGGCATTCCATCTTAGTGCTCACGGGTGACGACGCATCTGCATTTTGATTCTTTATTGAGGATAAATGTAGATATCTATGGGTCACAGCAACCACTTACTATCAGGTGGACTGTGTGCTCGTTTATCACCCTATCCTATAGAAAAAAATTAAAAACCATTTTGAAGTTTTGTACTTTAGCTTATTTACAGATCAAAAATTCCTGTTCTCTTTAACTTATTAACATATTTGTTTTGATCCTGTCCTCGTAACTTAGCCATTTCATTTCCAATAGTTTTAATTAGTAATCATTAACCAGTCAACTTTAGGTCTTATATTTATGGAGCGTTCAGTAAAGTTACACAAACTGTGAGGCGTTAGTCATGTAAACGATCACATAATCTACTGGAGAGCCCTGCATTTTGTGTACGATAAATGCCTAACTACTTTACTTACTTTAAAATTATCCAGAGCGAGCTTAATACTCGCATAAAGTAGTATGGATTCCAATGTGCAAATTTTATTTAATAGTTTTAAAAGTTTAAACATCTACTGCAATCTTTGTTATAGTTTGTTGTAGGGCTATTTTCAGGGTCAGAGTTTTTGATGAATTTAAAAAAAAACTAGATGCTAAAAGTTGTTTATGGAACGTCATAATTATTTTGAAAGACCTTTCTATAACTTATGAATGAGCTGTAGCTCCGAGCCTGAGTAGAGAGCGTGCAGCTGGGCGTGACACCAGGCGTGCGGCATGACGGCACAAGCTGCAAACAACATGATCGGCCGCTGTAAGGAGTCAAAACACTAAATATAAGTGCGTATGTTTGCCAATCCTACCATTTTTTTATAGGATAAGGGTGACAAACGAGCACACAGTCCACCCGATGGTAAGTGGTTGCTGTGGCCAATAGGCATCTACATTTATCTTCGATTACGAATCAAAATGCAGATGCGTTGTCACCCGTGAGGACTAAGATGGAATGCCTCGTTTCCAGTAAAAAGGGGTCTCCGGTTCTCTATACTCACCATACGAAACACAGCAGCGTTAAGCTGCTATTTTACGCTGGTATTCTGTGAGAGCATGGTCCTTCCTCGGTCGAGCCAACCCATTCGTGCTACAACTATACCAGTAATATAGCTGCAGCATGACTCTACCACGTTTAAATATATATTATATATAATTAATAAATATAATTATTAATAAATAAATATATATTATATAGTATCCTTCTATACGAGGAGACCAAATACTATATTTTAATATGGCTCGAGTCTATTAATAAAAACTCAAATCAGCAAAAGATGCCTTTTTAATATAAAATATCAATTAGAAACATTATTATCATCATCATCATTACAGCCCTTCACAATTCTACTGCTGAACAATGGCCTCCCCAAGGAACACCGCAATACCCCGTCTTGAGTCTCCTGAGTCACTTGCATCTATCGACTCCTACATGTATTATTAGATCGCCATCATCTAACATACTGTATCTTATATATTTTTTTTACTTTACTTCATCTACTATATTTTTCTTGTAATAGCCTCAAAATAGAAAATAGAAATATGAAATAGAAAAGGCAACCCTAGCTTCATGCCCGAATGCAAATAAAGTGAGCATTCCATTTCTACACTCACAGACTGATTCACCAATTTTAAGCATTGAAGCATTGTGAATCAGTTTTCGTAACTTTACAAAATTTACTATTAACACATAGGCTTGACACTCGTTTACCTTGGAACACAATGTTGCAATAATAAACATATGGTTGTTGTCCTTTAAAACTAAACGAAAAATCTGGACATCTAACAATGTTAAGGAGCTTGTACATAGTGGAGTGTTAGATTCATAGATCGCTGGTTCATATCCGGAGAGCCACTATATACAGTTGTTGTTGTTTTGCTCTTGATATTGCCTAAGTAACATCTTATAGTAAGTGGCTTCTGCAGACCTTGGGCACTTATAGCCATCTTGATAAACAAGAAGTTCTTGTGTCATCTTTAAAGAATTTGCACACTACTCGTATTGCGACGCGACTGTAACTCGTAAGTAAATCTTAAAGATATTTCTTTACATAACATACCTACATTCATTATAATTATTATAAGAATTAGTGACAAAACATAAATGACAAACATTTAACAAAATAAATATTTAAAAAAAATTTATTAGTGTAAAGTGTATAATGATTTAATTTCACTTGTTTACGTAGAATATTAGTGCGATCATAAGTTTTCTGTCAAAATATACACACTAAATCTTTCATACGCACGCGAAACCGCGAAAGTGCATTAACATTTTAAGGTTAATTTTCAGTTTCTTTTCGATTGAGTTATTGGAACTTGTGGTCAATGTATTAGGGCATGAAATGCAAAAGGGCTTATTTATTGTATAAAGTATGCTCTCTAACATAATAAAAGTGATTGTTTTATTGACGCACATAATTCATCAAATACTGCCAAGTAATGGTGACTTTTTATAAAAGGCTTAGAAGTGTACTATAACCATTATAACGGTTGTAAAAGCTGTACGGCGCTAGTGACAATTATTTTATAGCTAGATACAATCACCAGACTATGCAGTACTTTTACTTAAGTACAAAAGCACTTTAAGAACCTTTTTGCTATCGGAACATTTTGGGGTTCGTTTTTAATTTTAATTATTGTTATTAACACACGCAAGACAAAATAATTAATAATTCGTGAAATTATTAAAGGTCTTGTACAGGCTTTACCGTATTTTTTTTTGGAGTTTATGGCCTGGTATCTAGACCTTTAGGCCAAGTCTTAAGTATTTTTATTCGGTTTATTGTAATTTCCCCACTCCTTCATAGTATACTGCTTCACAATATGTTGATGCGTCACATTGTGCAGTTCTTGGGAGATTTTGGCGGCAACTTGATCCAGCAGACAGCTGATAGTTGGCGATGGTATCTAAAGGTGCCTATGCAAACAAACAGCTTATCTTGAGAATCCATCACCATCAGAGCACTTGTTTCACTGTTTCCACTAATAGTTCACATGCGTAGACACTTAATACACAAAATCGCAACACTTTTACATATCAAAGTCCACTTCAAACCATTATTTAAACAATAATACAGGAGCAGCAAACCGCCGCCGGTCAATTTCCCGCCAAAACTCGCTTTACCGTATTAATGGTAATACAGTATAGATTAAAAACTCTTATAGCAGTATAAAATATCTTTACCATGCCTATTGCGGACAGTGGCTATATTTTCACGTTATATTTCACAAATACATCGCTTTTGGTGCTTCTGTCGGGCTATAATTATCCAATACGGTAAAAGTAGTTTTTAAGATTCTCATAGGTCTATTGTAAAGATGTAGACTACATAGAACTACTTAGTATTATCTTGAGTGATATATGCGATAGGTCATAAATCAATTGAAGCGCTTTTGTCCTCGTTATTCCTCTTTTAGGTCTCATAGTGATATTATACCTAGGTAGTATATTAATAGCTCGGTTTTATATTCAACGCCTGTACAAAAATTCTACAAATCCCTTTTTACCCCCAAAGCCATTATAGTCACTACTAAATGGCTACATTATATCTCTGCTTTTAAACATATATTATAAGAATCAGTACAGCAGTTTAAAATAATTATGTAGGCGAAGTGTAGGGCGACCCCCCACTAGATGGAGTGACGACCTGGTAAGACATGCAGGAAGTCGATGGATGCAGGCGGCTCAGGACCGTTCTTTGTGGCATTCCTTGGGGGAGGCCTATGTTCAGCAGTGGACTTCTGAAGGGCTGTAATGAGAGAGAGAGAGAGAGAGAGAGGGGAGATAAGTGATAATAAAATCCTTTATAGTACACTGCTTCATAATATGTTTATGCGTCATATTGCGTAGTTTTTAGGAGATTTTGATGACAACATGAGCTAGCAGAAAGTTGGTGATAGTATCTCAACGCGCCTAAGCAGACAGACACCTTATCTTGAGACTCACATCAGGAAATTCCATTAATAGTTCACATGCCCAAAATTGCATCACTTTTACGTATCAAAATCCACTTCAAACCTTATATTTTATACGTGGTAAAGTCATGCTGCAGCTATATTAAGAGTAATGGCTGTAGCAAGAATGGGTCGGCTCGACCGGCGAAGGACCACGCTCTCACAGAATACCAGTGTAAAATAGCAGCCTAATGCTGCTGTGTTTCGTATGGTGAGTGTAGAGAACCGGCAACCCTTTTTACTGGAAAAGAGGCATTCTATCTTAGTCCTCACGGGAGACAACGCATTTCTGCATTTTGATTCGTAATCAAGGATTGATGTAGGTGTCTATGGGCCACAGCAACCACTTACCATCAGGTGGACTGTGTGCTCGTTTGTCACCCGAATTCTATAAAATAAATATAAACAATAGTACAGGATCAGCAATCCGCCGCCGGTCAAGTTCCAGCTAAAAAAATAATAAAGAACGAAAAAGGAAAGATGTGAGTGCCTGTCAACGAGTTGAGCATGGTTTTGGCATCACTTGAAATGTAGGTAGTGTTGTTTCAAGACAAATGTCACTGCTAGATATGAGTATAGGTATTAGAAATTTATTTTATTTGTCCCGTGGCTATTGTCTTAAGAGGCGACAAAAGGAAACAAACTAGGAAATGGCAGCACCGCCTTCCTAAATCGATCGACTCGATGGACCCAACCCCAATGGATCGCAATTATAACACTAGGAATAAAACACCTTATTCAGTAATGAATAATTAGAAGAATGAGTAATTACTACGGTAACAGAACACTTTATTAAATTCTTTACCTATAGGAAAAGCCCATGTTCAAGCAGTACTTTTACGGGTACGGATGATGATGATTTTGTGGAAACTTCAAATAACTTTGGCCAGTTAGGTTAAATTAAATAATTTGTTTTAAACCGGAACTGTGATCTTTAAAGTTTACAAGCTGCAAATATCATCAATAAATTATTAAATATCCTATAGACCTATAGTACATTTATAAAACACCATTTTATTTTCTAATCCTTGGTTTGGCACAGATCTCCTTTGAAAAGGTCCGCCGCGATTACTATACAAAATATTGGCGGACTCAGGTAGGTCGTGAATGCATTTTCCTTTATATGAACCTACCAATTAGGTTGTGTAAGTCAAACAGTTAAGGTTTTTTCAGCCTTAACTACTACGGTCCTCTTTCATGAGGAGAAAAAGGGAGACGAGTTGTCCTCTTCCGCCAGCGCCGTTAGAGCTGCGAATATGTACGGAAAAGTTTCTTTGGCCCTACCAAAATACCATGGAGTTTTAGATGGTGTGAGTCCAACATAACGCGTTGCATAGGAATTTCCCTATAAAAAAAAGATTACCCTTACTATCCCTACTTAACCTCCCTTTCTTTATTCCTTATTAGGATTAATAATTATAAGGTTATTGAGCAGCCTGCTTGTTTACTATCACGTTATTAAAATAAAAAATCGAAACATATATTAAAAAGCGTTTGTGCTTATTTACGGTTACAAGTGGTTAATCCTGATCGCATCTCTTGGTTCCTTAATTTCAATATGGCTCATTTTGCTTAATTTATTTTTAAAATTAGAATGATTTTATTCACTTCTGCATAAAACGAAAGTTAATTACGTTAACTCGCTGCAATTAACTATTTTTATAAAGTAAAAGAGAGCGAGTGAAAATTCCCCTCGTAGTAAGTCACTTGCATCCCGTGGTCACTTGCAATCTATTTGCAATCAACGCCACAAAGGCCACAGAAATGCGTTTTCAATCACAAAGAACTAAGATGCAATTGCCTTTGGATGTGCCTTTGAATCGTTACCGGAACACATCACAGAGTGTGCACATCAGCTTAGCGAGAGAAAGAGGTAAGGTGATTTCCAAACTGACGAAACTTTAGGTAGAAAAAAAACAACTACCACTTAGGATTACTAATGTGATATTTACGTCATAAACGAATATAAAAATAAACTGATAGTTATTTATAGAAACTGTAATAAACAGTAGGTACGCACTTCTAAGAATACTAACAAGTCGAATATTAAATCCGGACACGTTAAAATAAAATATAAAAGTTAAGTAGGATGCGAGTGTAACAGATTTAAAACCAAATAAGGAGGAAAATGTCATGCAAAGTATTTTTACAACTGGAATCTATAGTGCCGTCTTTAAAAGATATACGGATACCTATATCCGTAACTTAGAATCTAAGATCCAGAAGAATTTATTCATTTGTTAAGCGTAGACACATTCGTATCCGATCTATGACATATGCTTTTAATTTTACTTATGCGTAAGCAGAGCGAATTAAACAAAGCAAAAGATCGCATGTGTGTTTATTAAACTTGTGAATCATGATGATTTTCTATATTTATGCGAATACCATACATTGAGATGCGAAGAGTAAGAGACACAGGAAGTAGATGGATGCAGGTGGCTCAGGACCGTGCTTTGTGGCTTTGTCTGAAACAAGATAGTCAAGCAGAATAGATGATATCAAACCGCTGTTTACAAATTTACCAGAAATTTATGATGCCTTATATGAAATATCAAATGGTATATCATATGATCAGAAGGCAAAATATGACGCTAAATGTCTAGCAGAAAAAATATGCTCCTTTTCATTCATTTGTTTACTAAATATATGGCATATGATTTTGACAAAAGTAAATTTTGTGAGCAAAATTCTGCAGTCCATCGATATGAATATGCAAGTTGGTTTAGATGCTTTAACGGAATTAAAGATTTTTTATGATAAAAATTAGAACCGATGCAAATTTTGAGGAAATTTTAAATGACGCCATGAAAATTGCCGAAAAATTAGATGTTGCGGCTGAATTTGAAACTTCCAGACCCCTAAGACGTCGTAAGACTCCAATAAGTTTTGATTATGAACACGAAGACCATACTATAAATGATCCGAAGACCGCTTTTAAAATTAATGTATATTTTTTATATATTGGATCAAGCTTTCTCCTCCGTAGACGAAAGATTTCATTTATTGAATAATCAAAATGACGTGTTTAATTTTTTATTCAAACTAAGTGATGATCAAGATCAAAGTTGATTAAGAAGTAGCTGTCATCATTTGTGGAAAAAACTTTCTGCAAATGATTCATTGGATATTAACGCCCATGATTTGTGTGAAGAAATTGTGTCGTGTCAGTCTCTTTTCAAAAAATTAAATAATGATGTGGTGAAAATGCTCGAATTTATATATTTAAACAATTTGACAGCTGTTTGCCCTATCATCACCATAGCATTACGAATTTTGCTAACTATGCCAGTTACCGTAGCAAGCGCGGAAAGATCCTTTTCTAAATTAAAACTTATAAAAAATTACCTGCGCTTAACAATGAGCCAGAAAAGATTACCAAATTTAGCAACAATATCCATAGAGGAGGCCATATTAGACCATATAGACATACACGAGATTATTAAGGATTTCGCAAACAGAAAAGCGAGAAGAGTGGAAATAATATAATTTAAGTATGTTTATATTCCTACATATATTAGACTCTTGTAGTTTTTTTTAAACATAGCATACGTAATAGTTAAATCAGTATTAATAGAAAAGTCAGCTATTTTGTTATTAATATCAAGTATACAATTAGATATAACATCATAAATAAAGTATGTAAAAATTAAATTCGTGTTTTATTTTTCGCAGTAATTGGCAAGCGGAAGCGAACTGGTTTTACCTATTTAGGAAAATATTATCTAAGTATATAAAACTGGAGAACATTTATTTCGGTCAAAATTAACAAATAATAAAAAAACATAAGTTGAAACATGAAGATTCGTGAAAAAAAGAGGCGCTTCATAGGTTTCGCTCACAGGCGCTGTGGGGTGTCGGCGCGGCCCTGGCGGTGAAGAGTTTCAGGGACGTCACCCTGTCTTACACCTCTCTGCAGTTGGATAGGTTTCGTACTCTGGTTCTGTACTCGGATAGCCATCGTAGCCCTACTGTAAAAACACTTCAGCACTTTGATATACCGACAGTTCACTTGGCACTGCTGGAAGGACTGCAGCACCGACCAAATTTCGAAGGAATCAAAGGCTTTCTCATAGTCCACATACGCAAGACAAAGTGGCAGATTGTACTCTTCGGTTTTCTGTACAATTTGCCGAAGGATATGTATGTGGTCTATGGTGCTAAAGCCTTTTCGCAAATCGCCTTGTTCGGGAGGCTGGAAGTCGTCGAGTCTGGTGCGAGACGATTCGTAATGACTCTCGAAAACAGCACGTAGACGCGGCTCAGAAGGGAAATCGGTCTGTAGTGTAGTCGCCTTTCTTGGAGAACAAGACCACCGCATTTCTGATCCACGCCTCCGGTGTAGTGCCACCACGGAGGACGGAATTAAAGAGCTTCTGAAGGACTTTAAATACCGGTTTTCCACCCGCTTTCAGAAGCTCCGCTGTAATTCCATCCTCACCTGGGGCTTTGCCGTTTTTAAGGTGCTAGAGAGCCATTCTAAACTCACATAGACTGAAGTCCGGGATATCATCGGAATAGTGTCGGATAAGACTTGCTCTTGGATCGTTACTCACACTTGCGTGTGGCTCCAACGACGACGTGTACAGCTGCCCATAGAACCTTTTCAATCTCACTAAAAATCTCAGGTGTCTCGGAAACGATGCTGCCACAGTCGGTCTTTAGCTTCGACAGTTGGCACTTTCTGGCAGACAGATCTATGGCAAAGACTTCTTCAGCAATCGAGCGGAGCCCTGGTTTCGCTCGATTGCTTCTTCAATACAAGCAGTATTAAAATTGCGTAAGTCTCGCCGCATGCGTTTGGAGATCTGTCTGTTCAGTTGCCTGTATGCTATCAGATCTATTGAAGACTACATCTTCATTTCCCGTCTAACAGCCATAAGATTAAGAGTGTGATCGGAGAGTTTTTGTGTTCTTCTGCGGCGGGTCTTGCAAAACTTAACTCCAAACGCATGGACAGTTTCCACGAGCTTGTCATTTATATCGTCCACTACATTGCAATCTTCTAGGCACTGAAAACGATTTTGTAACTCGAGCTGAAAGATTTCGGGACTTTGGATTAGAGCACGATTGACTTTATTAGACGTGACCTTTTCGACTTAAAGTCTAAGTTCAGTGTGCCTCTAACCATTCGGTGATCGCTACCAGTTTTCACCCTCGCGATCACTGAGACATTACTGAACAGTTGTCGTATGGTCGTAATAATAAAGTAAATCTCATATTTTGTCGAACCATCGGGGCTCGACCAGGTCCACTTCCTGTGGGGCCGCTTCTGGAAGAAAAAGGTCATCATAAAGAATCCCTCTTTCTCCGTGAAGTCGGTCAACTACTGGACTGGTAGTCTCCCATTAACACCGTATAGTGGGTTTTGGAGGAATGTATGGCTCTAGAGATATCCTCATACATTTCCTCCACCTCTTCATCGGGATGTGCCGAGGTTGGTGCGTAAACCTGTATGACCTACAGCGAATACCAGTTGGTGATTCTGAGAATAAGGTACGCAACCCTCGTCGACACACTCCCAATTTTTACAACGTTGTTAACGAGAGACTTGTGGACAATAAATCCGACACCTCCTTAGGACAGATGGTCGCCCTCACGGTGATACAACAAGTTTCTAGCTCTAAGCTCTCTTCGGACTTCGGATAGTCCTATAATATTCCAGCGCAACTTGTCTATCTCTTCTTCCAGCTCCAGGATCTTCTCGTCAATGCTCAGGGTGCGTGCGTTATAAGTTGCCAGGTCGAGTCGTCGTAGGTGGCAACCAAACCTCCACCGGAGATTATTAGCACCCCCTGCCCCGCCGTTACCATGGTCGCTACCGTAGCCAGGAATAGCGGAGCCGCTGGGGACTGGGGGCCGTTTATTAATGTCATTGCTCATGGGGGGTATATTGCCATAGTTGTCACGCTTGGCGAGCGGGTTGGCAACTGCAGTTTTTATTGCTTTTTGCTGTTTTGAGAAAGATGCTGCTGGCCATCTTCTGCCTCAGTTTCCCTCTGTCGCCTTTTACGACACCCACGTGAAGATATGAGGTAGTGAGTATTCTTACCCGCCAATACACGGGGGACACTATAATGATGATGATGCACATTAAATAAAATACAAAACTAATTCTAGATTTTATCGCAATTCATTTAATTTTTTTATTCTCCGAGCTTTTGGTTCACTGGAATGATTGGGGTAAGGCTGCGGTGATCGATGCCTTAATGTTACAGTTAACGCAGGCAACCTTCAACTTTTCTTTCAAAAAATATTTTTGATCAGATCTACGCAGAACGCTTAAAGCATCTTGAGGTATTGCAGTGGTGTATTTGGTGGTCACGTCAGCTATATATTTTTTACGCAGGTTGTTATAGATATTTTTGTTCGTCCTATATAAGAGAGACCCGTACGCAGTGATATTTGAGGGATAGTAAAAACTGACTAAACTTCTTCGGCGGCTTACAAGGTTCTTTTGAAAACCCTCAAGATGTAGCCAAGCGTATCTGACATATAGGTATAATAGACACACGCTCGACTGTGGCTGTTTTCACTCGGTCACTGTGACGTAGGCGCGGAACCCGAAGCTTGTTGCCGTGCGTGTCATGCTTACCGCCTTAGATCCCTTCAGGATGCACCCCGAAACAAAAAATTTCCTTCGGCAGCTAACTGTGATGGACGGTGATGAGATTCACCGTTTAAATATCGGTTACTATAAGTAGCTTTCCTATACAGTGTGACTAATGGTATTATTACGATTTTGAATGACTAAATCATCTGGAAAAGTTTATTTATTTATTTTTTTTCTTTATGTTTATTTATTTACTAATTCAGTATTGAAACAGCTGAACATATAAAACAACGAGTATTTTTGAAAACTCTTACTGAAAAATATTGATAAACCTAATTGTCTTATTTAAATTAAACAATAATTAAAGTTAAAATTATAACCTTATACGTCCCAATGCTGGGCACTCCTCATTTGGGCAGGCCTTTCCTAATTTCTGAGAGGGTTTTAGGGCAACGACCGCCGCGCTGCCCAATGCATGTTGGCGAACTTCACGTTTTTGAAATTTTTATTTTATTTCTCAGACATGCAGGTTTCCTCACGATGTTTTCTTTCATCGTCGAGCACATGGTAAATCAGCACTTAAAATTGCAATTGACAATTTCATTGGTGCCGGAGGGGATCGAACCCGAGTTGCTCGCGTACTGTGAAATTTACAGCGAGTGCTACCACTGCTCATTAATAATTACAAGAATTATAACCTAACATTTTCATTCATTTATAATTTAATTTGTTTAATAAATGTACTTATATCGCTTATGTTTTCGATGTATAAAACTACGATATTGATATATTTATAATTATCGATATATTGAAAATCCGATATCTTAAAAATATCAACAGTTCTAGTTTGAACTGATCAGTTGGAATGATCAGTTGAACTGATCGTGTGTGTCGAAATTGTTTTGGATTAAATCCGTTTGAAAAGATCAGTTGAACTGATGTCAGTTTAACTGACCGTGTGTGGGGACCATTAGATATGCGAAAAGGACCGCAACCGGAGCTATAATTGTCTACGATTATATGCCATATTGATTGACATTGTTTTTTTTTATAGAATATTGGTGACAAACGGGCACACAGTACACCTGATGGTAAGTGGATGCTTTTGAACCCAGCAGGCTGCTCGCGTACTGTGAAATTTACAGCGAACGCATAGCCCCTGAGCTATTACGGCTACAATTCGTGAATTCCCAGGCACGAATTCAAGACTAACTTCTTTACCATGGAATTTCAACCAAACTGTGAGCTTATGGTAACGGCAATATAAAAAAAAACGATTTCGACCATAATATTGTACTACTTTCACTCTGCAAATATTTCATTTGTATAAAATATATTTCTGTGCTACACTTTCATAAGCAACTCAGTCTAAACAAGGATTGGCGTTGGCAATTTTCCCCAATAAAACGTATCCTTGTAAAATTGGTAATTTGTACACTAAAATTGGATTTTTTTTTAATTTTTAATGAACCTAAGGTCTTAATTGACTCAAGATTAATTCGGGGTTCAGGAAGCCAGGTTTAGTGATCCATTATTATGATAATGTTAGTTTCGTTATTCAACATTAATTTCATATTTAATACACTTAAACACCACACTCATTTTTTAATAAAAGATGTATAAATATCAGTGTGTAAATAGTTGGCTACTCTTTTAAAAGTAACCCTGTATAGTAAAATTATTACTATCAATAAGATATTAATGATCATCAGACTATATAAAAACAGAAAAATAATTTGAAATATTAATCAAAAAAATCTTTTGTTTCCGTGAAATACGTGGTAGTTCAGGAAAGTTTAATTGCAATTTTAAGTAATTAATTAATTTCTCAAGTGCTCGGCAGGGAAGGAAAACAGCGTGACCTGCGTGTAATAAGAAAAAACTATTTCGAAGACATGTGAATTTTGCCAACACGCATTGTGACAGCGCGGCGGAC